AAAACGAAAAAAAAAAAACAAGAAATATTATTTTCATGTAAAGGCACTATAGTTTATTATTCCTTCCCACCATTATTTTAAGGTAATTTAGTTTTTAAATATGTTAAACAAAAATCATGTTATCCAATGCTGTAGGAGTACAGGGTTGTACAAAGGTTTTCGAAATTTTCTTATCGTGTTAGAGCGAAACAGTGTTATAGGGTGCAGTGCTATACGAGGGTTCCCGCAATTTATCCTAACGCGTTAGAGCGAAATCGTGTTATAGGATGCCGTGTTGTAGGAGGGCTACCTGTAATTGTTACAGTTAAGGTGAAATGAAACACGTCGAGAAACTTGATCAACGTCGATAAAGAAGATTTTTCTAAATGCCTACGTTGCCGACGTTCGTTTTTATATTGACAGTTGGGTCGAATTATATTGGGTATTGTACCAAATGGTATATTCCACCTGTCGTTTTCGTACAATAATTATAAAGAAATCGAAGTAAAACTCCAGAAATCCTCTGATTCAAGCTTTCTGGGGCCCCAATTGACTGCAGAGGGACACCCTGCGCCATCTGTGATTTCCAGGTCAATTAAATTTTCACTCCGAGACCTCGTATTACCATCGTTTTAGCANGGAATTTTTTAATAATATATTTTTTCTTTTTCTTCGTGCCAATTTTACATTAGTAATTATGAGTTTAGAGGATTTGTAGTATCGGAGGGACTGTAATTTAAATGTTGCAATCAACACTTTGCATCTCTTGTTTTGACAAGCAATGCTTGCTCGCGTGACAGCGGGGGGAAGGCGAGAAATGAGTAATTGCTGTATTCACCCTGTGTGAAATATCCGACGTCGTGAAGTAACCGACGTTGAAATAGCTGACGTTCCATTGTGTTGCGCACAAACGTATGTGTCGTGTCCTCTGTATTGTGGATGATTTCATTGCGATTCATTTATTATTCCGAATTACTTAACCCATTGTCAATTGTTCGATTTATGTCACGGATAGTCTTAAAAATAAGGACACAAGGACGGAGTAATTAACAGCAGCAAAATACGACGGATTGTTTGAGATGATTTTTGAACTTTATACCACAGAAGGAAATTAAGTTCTGATTTGTAATTTAGTTACCAATTTGTACGAGTCAGTGGTTTCCTTTGTATAGTTCTTGTTTCAAAGACAACTTTAGAAGGAAGTCGAGTCACGTAATAATTTCGTTACTTCCTCACGAGTGCCTTACCTTGTTAGTTGTTAACTAGCACCATACAGCAAGCCCTCGGTACACAATGTAATTATTTGACTCAACAAAGTACCTAGCTACATTTTTTAAATAAAATCCCGGATCTGATCATGCGTCCTAGAAAAAGATTGATTTATCCAACAAGTATCCGTTGCTCGTATCGACGAGGCACTCGTTAAACATCTAGAATTTTTATTTTCTTCGAAGTATAAATTAAGAGGGAATTTAATTACTTTATATTTCTGTGACATCTCCTTGTTAATTTTTCATTCATTTTTTACTTCCCATTTAATATGCTTAATTAAAAATGGACTCCTCCGAGAAATTCCTATTTAACAAAATCACATAAAATTAACCGTACACATATTCACTCAACCAAAACGTTTTCGGAAATGAACCAAATGCGGTAAATCAAATTGATGTTGAATCTTGATTTAAAATCTCGCTGAATGAACCAAAATTTGATTTCGCTTTCACCAAGTCGAATAATCACACATTTTAGTATTTAAAAACAAAAAAAAGAATTCAGTACATCTCTACGATTCTCGCCACTTCTACCAATAATTCTGTATCTCATTTTACGCTTCTATAAATACAATCAATAATTCCGCGCCTCAATGTGCACGGATCATTTAGCTGGAAACAATTTGTTGTCAAATTCGGCGGGAAACTATTAAAATAAATCTACGTACCATAGTAAAATGAACAATTCCCTCCTTTGATTCCCCGATCTCTTCAGCAACAATGCCAATCAACACTTGAAAATACGCCATTGTGAGAAAAATGATGAAAATAAATCTTCATTCAACATTAAAATGAACAATTCCCTCCCCTTGATTCGGCGATTCATCCGGCGACAATGCCAACCAAGAATTGAAAATTCGCCATTGGAGGAAACATGAAAATAAATCTTCATTCAATATTAAAATGAACAATTACCTCCCCTTGATTCGGTGATTTCTCTGGCGACAGTGCCAACGAACAATTTAAAATATGCCATTGGGGGGAAAAGTTATGAAAATAAATCTGCATTTAACATTGAAATGAACAATTCCCTCCCCTTGATTCGGCGATTTCTCCGGCGACAGTACCAACAAGGAACTGGGTTTACGCCATTGGGAGATAGTACTCCTGGTGACACGCAAAACCAGAACAATCCGACATTCGCCTTGACCTTTGTTGGGGGCAACCTCGAGGAACAAACCATAGCATTGGCAGGGAATAGACCTCGAACGACGGCCACCAGTTCCACTGGAATACACGATTTCGCCATCAGGCGAACTTCGGCCGATCCTGTATATCCTTGCGGACACGTGCGAATATCCTTTTCGCGCCGACATACACGCAATCGTGAACGACCACCACGACAGGATGGCTTAAAAAGCCTACAAAAACCCGATAAAGGACTTGCCGAAGTCGAGTGGGTGAATTCTTCATGAGGAACAGTCTGATGACGATTAGAATCGATAGGACACGACATTCTGAATCGATAATGGATTTGCGAGTGTCTGGAAAGTCTCGAATTAGAGAATTTGGATTACTACGAAAGGTTGTTAGTTGACTTCCAGGACCAGGACCAAGAATTAACGGAGTTTTACATTTTTTTCTCCTTTTTCTGCGAAAGTGCAGGATCGATTGATTATTCAAGTTATCGGAGGACTATTCTGATAAGACCCTTATAAATCGGAGCTTAAAGAGTTAAAGCTCACTTGATCGAATAAAATTAACTGTCAGATTATGTGGTACTCGAAATTGGTGTAAGGAAGAGCAAGGAAGGCTAAAAGCTTTCACAATTTGGCATTTGATCACCGGGAATATTTGCTCCTTAAATAATAATTAATGGATCGTGCAAATTGCGATATTCCTTACTTCATGTTGCAAGCGGCAAAGCCTGTGCCATTTTTTTCTCTTTGAATTAACTGACAAAAATAAGAAGAAACATTTCTGCATCGAACTTCGTACACTTTTCACAGTCAAGAAGTGGTTCGTTCCAGATTCAGGAGGTTCAGGTGTCAAAGTTTCTGAATTCTTCTTTCCCTAACGTGACGGAAGATCTTTGATGAGATTCGTGCCTAAGTTCTAGGACGAGGTAAAAGACCTCCACTTCCTTCTCCTCTTCCATCGTGGCATGATCGGTCTGTCCTGCGGTTGTTCTCCACGCCGTGAAACGTGACCACGTCGTCAAAATATTCAAACCCGTGCTCGGCTCGCCACTCAAAATAACCTTGCATTATCTCGAAGAGATGCACCGTTCGCCTCGTGCTCTCTTATTTGCTCGCAGCCTCCCAAGGAGTCCCGGATCCATGTGTGGATCTCGTTCCGTCCCGGACCAGGCGAGGAGAAAAAGAGAGACGAAGACGCGGAGGGTCCACGAAGTGACCAAGAAGCGAGCCTAAATAGACTAGCGAAACAATAAACACGTGAAATTACAGTGTCTTTTAATTAATAACCCCGGTAATTAATCCTTTGCGCACGTAACATCGCTCGTAAGATGGTTATTAGTGTCTGGACAACCAGCGGTAACACTTTTGACCGCAAAGGTTTAACTTCGTAAATATAAAGTTTATTGCGAGGAATTATCGATAACTGTTGCTAATTATCACTTTCTTTTTAATTACATAGTCATGACTTTACGTGGCTCTCTTTGCATAAAAGGGAAGATAACCATTTGTAATTAATTGATTCTAATCATAAATATCACTTTCAATGCTGAATATTCATAAAGTGAAGAAGAATGTTAAGTTAAGACGTATTGTTTCATTTTTCATAGAAAATTGTATTTGTAATTTGCAATTGGTTGAACGTTGAATTTGCAAAATAGTGTAGAATCATCTGAACTTTCTTTGAATGGCAGTATTACTGAGGACCAAGTTTTGTTTGCGCATAGATTTGTACTCATTGAATTATATTCCCAGAATTTTTACACGAGGGTGAGGGAAATGAAATAACGACTGCATAAAGTAATTAAATAATTTATCCATATGCGGTACTATACTGCTGATTTCTATGTGCATTCGTGAGTCCATCTCGAGGGTCTCATTTCCTATGCCATAACCTTAAGACAACAAACGTGGAAAAGCATTCGCGGTATGTAATCCAAGGTAATGTCAGGTTGTTTTGCGACATGAAGAGATATGGCGGGCGGAAAATCGTAAGACGTCATGCCATAACCTTAAGACAACAAACGTGGAAAAGCATTCGCGGTATGTAATCCAAGGTAATGTCAGGTTGTTTTGCGACATGAAGAGATATGGCGGGCGGAAAATCGTAAGACGTCATGGGAGTGAGCAGTGAACGGAAACGCAAAAGGTTCTTCTGTAAATCCTACAGGAGTTTATCTCGCTCTTGAAACGGAATACACGCGATTCTCCTTACAAAATTGTCCTAAGCCACGTATATTCGGTCCTAAAAAGTCATCGATTTCCAAAGTCAAACGCCCGAGTCGTGTCAGGTTCCAATCCAACCTTGACACCTTCGAGTGCGCTCCCTTCCGTGCAGTAAAGACACCCATCACTTCCGACGAGAGTCGTCATATCTCAAAGTGATCTTTCGTTTGCGGAAGCGTCGGTCCCATGGGTCCTCTCAAATAATCTGGGAGATCTCGTTGGTCGTATCCCATTCCCCATGATAAGGGAAACCACGAAACGCGTGGACCGTTGACTAGACGCGACGTCGATGGTAATTGTCAGTGATACCATTACCTCGGGATCCACGTTATCCCGGGGACCTCTTTCCAGAAGGACGCAAAGTTTACAGCGACACTTCTTATTCCAGACTGCTCTACACTCGGGAGCCGGGGCCCAGCATCATCAGCAGCAGCAACAGCAACAGCAACTTTTAGAGCCGAGGATGGCGCAACTGGAGACGCTGGAGGCTAAGGTAAAATCTTTCGTTTTTCCGCAAAGACCGAGGGGAACCTTGGGACCAGAATTTGGAATGGGGGATCCCAGCGAATCCGGAAATGGAGTTGGCTGGAGAATTTCCGCCGAAAAACCGCAGACCCTGGCAACGGCTTCCCATTGGGCGCCCGGCCCCCATGGGAATCCTGGACCAGGGAATCTCCCGGAAATGGAACTTCCGAGCTCGCTTCGGTGGTTCTGCCTCGGGTGCCAGGGAAAAACGGCATCCTGAGGGGAAGAATCACTCGGTATAAATGATTATCATGCGATGTAATGACGAGTTGGTGGCGATACTCGGACCTCCACTTACCGTGGGGTAAACGCATCGCAGGATCACTTCGATGGTGATCGCACCGTCATTTCCCCATGGTTTCACCCCGGGCTTAGATGCTGTCGATTGGGGGTATGATCGGTAATGCATTGTAGGCTTCAACTATGGGTTTGCGATGTTACCGCTGGAATGCAGAAGCTGAATTGCGGCTTTGGAGTAAAGTATTTTTTTTAGTAGAGTTTGTTGTTAGATTAAGTTTCGTGTGGCCAAGCACTTCCATTCGTTTTTATTTTATATTTACCGCCAAAAGTAGAAATTATTCATTAATCTTGATTATTTTGTCACGATGATTATACGCGATTGATACCGCTTCTTTTAAGCATGACTATTCTTTTTGTTTTGTATTTGCTCTATTTGGATTGCACTTTAAGTATTACTAGAAAATAACATTGTAGCACGAGAGAAAACGTTTACGCAAATTATCACAATACTAGCACACAAGAATAAACGTAAATAAGAATTAATTGTCAAAAAGAAAGCATTCCGTTTTCTGAAAAGGGTCCCGTTCACAATGTGCAAAATTACACGTATTACCGTGTTGTAAGAAGTTTCACTTCGATCATTCTATATCGATGACAAAATTCTGCAACAATATTTACGCATACACAATTATATGTATTTTGAGGAAAACGCGTTGTCCCAATATTTATGAACATTTGTCCTCATTTCTTTTCCATTACCATTCGTTTAAAATTCGGAATACATTCGTACGAATTCTTACGTAGAAATGATATTCTCCAAAATGTGGAATACATTTTTCTGGTATTCATTCCGAGTGACGTTGTTTCTGGTTCTAGCATGCATTCATATTCGAAAATGTTGGAAGCATCGCAATGTTTACAGGGCAGATACTTTACCACCATATATACCGTACATACTTCACCAAGGCTGCCATAATCGGGCCGATAGAAAACACGAACCATATCGCGAGGTTCCTCGTGGCGTTTTTTAAGCCTTGGCCAGAAAAACTTAGGCCGATGTTTCGCGGTTATTGGCGGGCTTGGCAAGGGCCTGCGGCTTCTTAAGGCTGTCCGGTCAGTGATTTATATGCAGATGCGCGAACCAAACTCAGTTTTGTTGGGCCCAACTCGAAGGCCCAGGGCCTTGCTCAGCCACCATTAAAACTGCCCCCTCGTCCACATTTGGCGCCCATTGGCGTAGGTTCCTGTAAAGGATCGAGACCTTCGCTCCTGAAGGTCTCGTCGGAAGGTCGAGGCTCCAGATTGCCCGAAAGAATGATAATTGAAATGATCGCCGGACTAATCGGGGACCCTTTCCGTCCTGTTCTTCCTTTGAGTCACTTTAATTTGGGCAACAATGAGCATTCTTTGACGCGCCTTCTCGGAAAATTATTATTACGAAAAGAGGATGCAGAAAAGTATTTTAGGAACAAATTGTACGAAATTGAAAAAAAAATCAACATCAAGTCAATAGGTAATTCATTTATCTCAGCGATGTAAAGTTACGATTTCCAAAGTCTGTCATTTCACCTGATATTTGTATTTTTATGCTTAGAAATGTTAAGAATTCGAGGAGAGGGATTAAACGGAAATACTCCGAATAACCAGAAAATTGATCAAATTTGTCTTCTTTATTTTTCTTACGTTCAATTTTTATGAACTGTTGTTTCGTTAATGTTTATCCGGTGTCTATCCTGTATGGGTACTTTTTAGAGATGTTTCAAGCAAGTGAACACACTTTTACACGTTTTATGAAATTCAATGTTCTTTACCAATGAATGTCCTTTAAAAGTGCCGAACATCCATGACTACATACCATTACCGCACTTCCTTGATAGGCGAGATCCTTCGGGAATGGCGATGCCGATCGGAAAGTCAATGTTCGGAAGAAACGAACGTAACCATGGAAATAACTAAACCACTTAAGGGACCCCAACTTTTCCCCTTCGACTAAGTATTGATATATCGATAAAGTCCTTCCGCATTTTTATCACACATCCATCCTTAAGAGCCAAAGCTTTCAGATCTCTCGCTTGATAATTTTTATTCAAATTATCGTTGTCCATTTTGTCTCCATAAATTCGTTGAAAAATTGGTAACATTTCTTTTACTTGTCCACGCCCTTTTATTATTATCAGGATGCGTAAAGCGTTAGAAAATACAGGGCGAAAAATAATGTTAAGCCTTTTTAGACGAAAAAATAAGCTTTGGGAAAATGTGTCCGCAATTTAGCGATGAGTCCTAAAATTGCCCCAGATTCTTGTCCGACTCTCATCGGCGAATGCTCCAGTGAACAAGTCATTTAAGAATAGTAGGTCCCATCAAAATATAGGAGACATGAAATGTCTCGAGACCAGAAAGTAACCTCGAAAATGGCCAAGACAGCTAAAAGACCTTTTCTCCTTTCTCGTTCTCCTCGTCCGGTTCGTCCAAAAAAAAGTTCTTCGCATTTTTTCACTCTTTTATAAGATATAAAAATTAAATCAGCATAAACTACAAACACTTTTCAATTGATGTAAATTTGAAGGAAACGTTAATTTTCACGTACCGTGTCTTTTTAAGTCAACTCTTTGCCTTTAGCTTAGAGAGGGTTGGAGGAAACGGTTCCACGTTGATTAGTTAGGATCCCTTCCTGAGCGTTGTCTTAACGACATCCAATGTCTGTGCAGAAGGGATGTCAATCAGCTTTGTGACAGCCGTCACTGTCAAACGACCAGATAAGGCCAGTCCTGGTCACCACGGTTAGCGAGGGCCAGTGACTCTCATCGACCACTTATTCACCATTTTTGGTTGATATTCAAGTAAATGTGAATTTCACTCTCGGATAATCACTAAGGGAATGTTTGATGATCATATTAATAATATTAGAAATGAATAACAATACATTTTATGCGTTTTTTATGTATCAGCGTATGATACATTATGTTCAAATGAATGAGAGAATGACCCTCCAATTTAGGATAACAGATGTTGCCCTGAAATATGGAACATTGGATGCCGAAAGTGCACTTAAAAAAGAAAAGGAAAATTCAAATCATCGCAATAAAACTGAATGCACGAGGTTCCACAATTGGTCAAAATTTGAAATTTTCAAATAACACGTACTTGCTGTCTCAATCAGTAAATCAGTGGTTAATGCCCATGATTTGAATCACAAGTTAGGACATGGTATGTACATCCTAAAGCCTCCCTGCCCAGGTAGGTGTACAAATATATTTAAAAATAGAAAAGAATAAAACGAAGTGCAGGAGAACTGTAACGATCGGTCAAGATTTACGATTTGGATCCAAAAAAAGATCATGCCGTGACTCTTGCATGTGGCCTTGGCCATAAGTTGGGTCACGATACGCCCTTGGACTTCCCAGCCCAGACGGTTCCCAAAAGAGTAGTCGAACGTAAAAAATGAAATAAAGGAACAGAGTAAGAAAGGGATTCAGCGGAACCTATGGACTTTAACGATCGGTCAAGATTCGTGACTGGGCCCTCGAGAAACGAGATCACGGCGTGACTCTCGTACACGGATAAAGTTTCTCGCATAAGTTGGATTATGGTACACCCTTAGACCTTCCAGCCCTGACGGATCACGAAAGGGCAATCAAAAGTAAAGAAAATAAAAGAGAAAGTAGGTGAAAAATGAACCCAGTAGAAATCCCATGAACTTTAGCCTTTTAACTACACTGTTAAACAAAATAATGAAATTTTATAAACTTTTTGTCCAAAGTTTTATTCAAACATGGTATACTAATTTTATAACATTTCCAAACAACATTTATAACATATGTTATAAATTTAAGATATAAGTGTACTCATTTTTCAACAAAATTTCACAGACTTCCAATATGATGTTACAAAATTACAAATTTAATTTGAAGTTCATCGTAAATGTATAATAATTCACTTTTAAGACATGAAATTTATAATTTCACCACAATCTTATGTACCAAAAGTATGAATTCTATGAATATTTTTAATATGTGTCTTTCGTGGATATCTTGTTTTGGATTCATATCATGCATAGTTTACGCGCAGTCCGCGTCGAAGCTTGCCATGCAGAGATACAGTGTTGCGGAAAGTCCAGCCGTAGCTAAAAGGATAATGGCGTTTCGTAAAAAGATGTCGGTCACGCGGAAGCCACTATAGTGGCGCTCCGAAACCAAAGGGTTAACGATCGGTCAAGACTCGTGACTCGGACCTCGGAGAACGAGATCACGGCGTGACTCTCGCACATAGTAGGTTTGTTCGCGTTGTCTGCACTTTCTACACTCGAGGGTAACGAGTGTACTACATTTTTCTTGAAAGGTGCAGAAGGGTAAATACACTTTCGTCGACGTGCCGAACGCCAGAAAGCTCATGAAAGTACAAGATGGCCGATATAGCGGAACAATATACGATTTTGGAGCTATTCGAATCGGATGATGATGAAAATAAAGATGTAATACGTCCTCCACTACATCTTCTAGCAACTGATGATGACAGTGATAATATATTATGCAGTAATACATAATAATTGTAAATAAATAAATTGCAAATCAATACATAATTTGTAATAAATCATGATTGTACTATTTTTCAAAGATTAAGTACAAAATTAAAACGCTAAATCTGTCTACACACGAAGAAAAAGTATTAATCGTTATTTCTATTTATATTATCTTGAGATCTTAGGACAAATTTGTATTTTCCTGTTTG